ACACCCATGCATCGACAGTCTGTCAAAGCTGCAGCACTACAGGAAGCAGACCCGGAAAGCATTTGTTTGTTTTAAAGATTGGTTTACAGCTGTATGGATCCCCAGCCTGTATAACCAAATCGAATCCATCACATTTAATGTATTTTCAATGCTGGTGTTGACAAATGTTTTCTTTTTAATGAAATTCTGTTTTGAGAATGTTTTTCTTATCTTTTTTTTAAATTATTATTTATCATTATGGAAAAACAAAATTCAATTAAAATCAACTTTCTCGTTCTAATTTACACCCAAATCCTTACATTAGCGAACAGCTTCCTCTTTGACCTCATTCACAAGTTTTGCAGGAATTTCATAACTGAAAACAACACGTTTGTGGACTAAAAATAATTTTTTGTCTTTACTCTGTTGCAACAATGTGTCCGGCTTTTCTCCAAATGCAAGTCGTGAAGGAGGAACAAGAAGGAAAAAAAAACATTTTCCACAACGTTTGTTCAGCTTTTTATTATATAGATCATAGATAAGACTCAGGTAAAATCAGTACGGATTGGTAAAAAAGATAAAAATAAATAAAATTAAAATTATTTTATGTCATTTTAGGGAATAAAAACATCTACTCCCGTAAAACATATGACACAGTAAAACTACTTTAAGAAGTTTTACCTTCTTAAAGCCAAAACTTAAGAATAAAAGTCACTCTTTAATATTCATTTCAAAGCTGCTGGAGTAAGTGTAACTGAGTGAATGCAGCTGATCAGTAGCAACCTCTGTGATTCTGGTATTCTGGGCCTTTTCGCCTCATAACCAAACGCTTTTGACATAAACTATAGGCGGATATCTCAAGAGAAAAGGTAAGTCATCATATACTGCCTTGCCAGTTACTCCATAAACCAAGCAAGGCCCACAGTACTGCTGCCAAAGGCCACTTCTGCTCAACACTGATATACTGCTGTATGCTAATGGGAAAGTTGTATACTTTCATTTCCCCGCCTGTCAAGCTGGCAGGGCTGAGCAGAGCAGATCCTGAAACACTGAATGCTGCTTCTGTTAACTCCACTAGAACATATATGTAGCTGTGTATGTATGTGTGGTGAACTGGAAGTCAACTATCCCAGTGGTTCAGCTTGCTGTGACTTTACTGTTCAGACCAAGCAGAGGAGCACGGGAGACCAGAAACCCGCCCTCTGTCTGCAGGTGAAGCGCACAACACCGGCGACAATGCCCGCCCCGACTGTACGGTAACAGCGGCGGGGCACTAACTTCGCCGAGCGGCTGTCAACTTCGCCTCCCCCCCCTGAAGCCACTGCGCGGAGAGAGGCTAGGAGACACGCCGGAGACCAGACCGACCTCCTTCTGCTCCTCCACCGAAGGCAACGCCGCGCGCCGTCCGCCCCCGCGCGCGCGCTGCAGCCACACGCAGAGCTCGCGCAGCTCCCCGCGACACAAAACGGACGGCCGGCACACTCACCAGCAGCACCAGCGCGAACATTGTCGCCTCTCTCATCTTTCTCCTGTAGCGGATCCAGGAGGCCATGATGCCGTTGCCACGTCTGGATACGCAGGCGCATTCCGATTTGCACGGATTGTCGGGCGAGGCGCAGAGCACCCTGGGAAATGTAGTCCGTGTTCAAACTGGAAGGAGCTCATTCGCACCTGCAAGGGCGCTGTGGTGGCGCGGGGGCGAATCACGACCCACGTGTGGCGGTCTTAGTCCTCGTGACGGCGGTCGCGGATTCGATTCCCGGCCTGGCGACATTTGCCGCATGTCTTTCCTGTTTCCTGTCGAACTACTGTCAAATAAAGGCCACTAGAGCCAAGAAAACCTTTTATAAAACAATAATATCCACCTGCAACCATTCACCTTGAGCTGGCCCAAATACCCCACCGATCTCTGTCTCTCCAGTCTGAACACGATAGACTACATGATAAATGCTTTTTAGCAAAATATGGCAAGACGTAGTGGCATGTAATTAGACTGTAGCGGGTTATTAATCAATAGTTTTTTATCTGTTTGGACCGTTTCTTTCAGCTTGATGAGCTATACTCGATGGACTCATTTTTTGCAGTCCGTGATCTATATGACCATATAAAAAATGCTGAATGTATTTGAATTTACTTTTGTCCTCAAACACATTATATCTATCGATGCAGGGCCGTGCAGGACCAGTAAAGGGGCAGGTGCTCAAAAACAAAGGGGCACATCTAACCGCATTTAGAATATTAGCAAAGTCACACAACTTTCAGAGTTTAATGAACTCTGAAAGTGTTGGGATTGAGCCTGAAAATTTTTGCCTCTGATGTTATCCATTCTTAGGCCGTTTCCCTTCAGTATGTCCAGAATCAGATTTTAAAGGACTTCTCCGCTGGTGGATTGGATGTTGCACACCTGAATAAATCGCTCCGTAATCTGCATGTTGTCCATGTATCCGACTGCAAAGGACACTTGTTCCGTGTGTGAAAACATCTGTGGTTTGGTCGATAAGAACGGTAGCACAGCTCACTTTCCTTTATTTCATTTTTGCCTTACTCCTGTACCTAATGCTTTGATTATGTCATTTCGCGTTCTATTTGATAGTGGTGAGACCGGTGGTCTTTTGTGACTTTCCAGTGTTTCTTTCAACCCATCAAGGTGAAATTTAATGACACTATCATACTTGCCGAATAACTCCACAAGCTCTAAAAAAAAAATTGCCTCGATTTAGGCTTCCTGAAGTCTCATCATCTCCTCTAAACGACATACCCTGTCTTGCCAGGTAAAGTGCAATGGAAATCAACGGAGATTAAATTTCTCTCTTCCTCTGCTTTTCTTTGTCTTTTGCAGCTTGTGACAAATCTACCTCCACTGATTGTTTTTTTTTTCCTGAAAAGTGTTCTACTTCACCACAGCACACATATAGGACTCTGATGCACGGTGCTCTTTAATTTTCCGTAACGCGTTCTTCCATCTGTTTGATCCTGTCGTCTTCCGTGATTTTGCGGCACATGAACTTTTCTGAAACAAAACATTGAATTTAAACTGGGAGAATACTCCAGCCTCTATACATACAGTCTCATACCATTTCTTCTGAAAAGACCTTCCTCCCTCATTTTTAGGAAATGATAGCACAACGGTCGACCAGCGCTTTATCCAAAATTGGCTTCCACAATTTTGGATAAATGCCTTAGCATATTCTATGTTGCATTGCAACATAGAATATGGTTGCTGGGTCACTTGGGCGTAGAAGGTCCACTAAGAATTTGAATGGCCTCTCTCTGATTTGTTGCTCTGCGTTTTCTTCCATTGTGTTTATTTCTGACTGCTGTCCCTCTCCTTTCCTGTCTTCCTGTGTTGTTGACTGCATTTCTGCCTCCTCTTCTGATCTATCACTTTCTTTCTGTCCATTTGGGAGCAAGAAACCAGCTATTTGTTATTCTACACCTAGATTTGGTGCATCTTAACATAATGAACACATAACAGCTGCCTTGTAATATTAAATATATATTCACTACCAAAAACTGCATGTTGACGATGGTAACAAACTTTATTTTTGTGTTCTTTCTTGCGGTCCATCCATCCATCCATCCATCCATCCATCCATCCATCCATCCATCCATCCATCCATCCATCCATCCATCCATCCATCCATCCATCCATCCATCTCTTCTGGCTCTATTTCCCAACATAATTCGAGTGGAGATTTCAGTCTGCCTGTCTGTTTGGTGGCTTTTCTTTGATACCAGTCCGCACGATCTGCCCGCGAGGTAAGGCTTTCAGACTTATAAGAACACTGCATTGACGATTAGTAGCGTCAACGTACCAGCAGGGCGGTGACACCAAACACCCACCACTAAGCAGCTAAACTCAAGAGTCGGTGGCCTGGCTCCCACACGGCTGGAAATGTTCGGCCTCGTCCCGAAAGCTCGGCTTTTGGAAGGAATCCAACTAATTCAAGTAAGAAACGGAGCTAAAATGCCAAGCAATAAATAATAAATCAGTTCAATACATAAATGAAAACAAGCTCAATCATTTCTGTTTGCATGATTTATCATGTTGCTCTTTTCTCGCGCTCTCTGTGTACCAAAAACTGGACGACAAAAGGTCTTCAGTCTTACTAGTGCTTGTTTTTTGAAGGATGGCTTTGTTGACAGAGACTTAATAATTAATTTTATTTGTTGTTTTTGTTGTTTTGCTTATTTCTTTTTCTTTTTTTAAAATGTCCAAAATAGAACAGGTACAAGTTGAAACTATGAACTTAAAAAAAATAATAATAATTCAGAATAGACTAGGACAGAATTGACTCAAACGGATCCACCTTGGCTGGTTTGCATTTGCGCAGATGAAACAAAACTTGTGTTTGTTGTTAAAGGTTCCCTGATACCCAGGGAGTTCAATTGCTAGGTTACGACCACCCAGCCCAGACACCGCAGGTACAGGCTCCAGCGGGACCCCCCACCGCAACCCCAGCATCCAACATGCAGGGGCCAAATCGTTTCTCAGAAGCCCCGGGCGCTCTCTTCATCCTGATCCGGTCTGGAGCCCGCAGCGACCAACGCACACGCACACGCACGCACACAACAACACACACGCACGCACACACAACACAGCTGGCTCCGGGCCAAACACATCGAGACGCTGCGACGGAGCCGTATGGAGCAACATAAGAGCGTCAACGGCAACGAGCCCTGATCACAGCCGCTTCCCTTTTTGTTTTGATAATGTTTGTAATAAAGACGTTTATTACAAACATTATCAAAACGAAAATGTTTTGATAACGCACACACAACACGCACGCGCGCGCACACACCTCCAGCTCTCGCAGGTTGCGCGCGCCGCTCCTCCCCTCCCACTCACACCTCGCCTGCAAATCTGGGCCCCATCTCTCTCTCCACTCCCTCCCACAGCCTCCTCCCTCCTTTTCTTCTCCTTCCCCGGTTCCCTCTCCTCTCCCCCCGCCTACCCCTCCCCTCCTCAGCCCGGTGGTTTCGCCTGACGGAGGAGCAGAGAGCGCAGTTGTCGGCTGCAGGTCTCTCGGAGAGGAGCGCGCAGTGGCCGAGGGAGCAGCACGTAGAACCTGTTTTCTGTTCTGGCTCCTGCTGCAGAAAAGTGCGAGATCTTTTACGCAGCCCCCTCCCACTTACTCCCCCACCCCCTTTTCCCTCCTGGTTGTTTGTTTTTATTTTTTATTATCATTGTTTTTTAATTGTATTTTTATCCGACTGGCTTCTTTTTTTTTATTATTATTCTGTTTTCACGGTCCAGAGGAATACAACCCGCATTAGAGGTAAGAGGAAAGAAGAAAAAAAAAAAAAACCCCAAAACATCACTTTTCTTTTGTTTTCTTGTTGCCTGGGACGAGAAGCACTTTTTTCGGGTGTGTGGTTCTGCATCAGTGTTGCATTCGGGAGCGAAAATAACGTAACCGAGGCACCGAGGCATTGTTTTTCTAATTATCATCGTCATTACTATTTGCACAGCGAACGAGCCGCTTATTGCATGCACGCCACCCATAGTCAGTAATGGTGTGGCCACTTTGGAGCCCTTATTCAGGCATGCAGAGGGGTCCGTCTCTCTCGGGACCAATGCCCCCCTCCAGTCCTCCCCTCCTTCAGCACAATGCCGTGTGCATAATTAGCTTTTTTTTTTCTTTTTTTGTTGTTGCTCTTTTTGTTAATAAAATAAAACCCGCAAACACTTTCTACAACATTTTTCTCACTTTCTTTTTTTTTTCGGGTCGTTTTTTTCTCTATGTCAAGGTGTCGTTAAGGGAATAGTATTTAATTTTTTTATTTTTTTTTTATGCCTGGCCGGTTTTACTTTCCACTCACGTTTCATCCCAGGATCAGAGGCGCATTTGTGGGCTGCAGGAGCCTCAGCCTGCCCCACAGTAGCGCTGTCTCAAACTTACTTTGTGCTCCTGAAGTCCACTGAGAATAGCAGTTCAGGAACTGGGCTGCAGAAGAAAAAAAAAAGAAAGAAAAAAAAAACAACTATTGCACGGAGATTTGTGTGCGGATGCGGCTGAAGCTTCATTTGCGGCACGGACCGTCTTAACACAAATCCAAACTCTCGTTTTGACTGACGCCCGTCGTTGTCTTGCTGTTGCAATTGAGGCATGATGAATTGAATCCGGTGGCCTTTTTTTTCTTCTCATTGTCTGCGGAAAGCAGCTTTTACGCGCGGGACGTGTAGAAAGCGCCACACGTGTTTCACCTTTTACCTTCAGAAAACAATAATAATCATCATCATAATAATTGACGGTCAACCTTCGAGGCTGACGTCGCTTTACGCTGGAGCCCGGAAAGTCTTGTGTGCGTGAGCTTGTCACTCGGGATGGATCTGGACCGTCTCTCCTCGATCCGGTCCAGACTCGCTTCATCTCCGATCCTTAAACGAGGATAAATGTCCAACAGGGAGAGACTGCAAATGATACGACAAAAGAAAGGTTGAACGTGATTTCCAAAAAAAAAAAAAAAAAAAAAAGAAGAAGAAGAAAAGAAAAGCATTAGAAGCTCTCCTTGCATGTTTTTTGTTTTTTGTTTTTTTGAAGCTGATTACTGGGGAGTTGAATCTTTGGAGGTTTTCCTCGAAGCCCCCGACAGAGGGCAGTGTTGAGCGGTACTGTGCTGCACCTTGCCAGGTGAAGTTCACTAGCACAGAATCAGAAAAAAAAAAAGGCTCGACTGAGGTGGAGCAAAGGTCCACCAAATGAATAAAGACATTTATAAAGTTGGTTGCTTTCACGGATGATTGCTCGGGTGACTTTTCCCATCTAAAAGTGCTTACATTTCAAGCACCTTTGAACAAGCTTTTATCTGCCATTGGCTCTTAGGTTTGCTCCATTTCCTGCCTGTCTTCTTTGAATCAAACAACTTTTTTTGTACACGTGTCAGGACCGTGGCTCGGGGCTGCTGAGGGTGGCAATTTCGGCCTTATCCAAACGGCGGAGTGCGCAGAATTTCATTGAAATGTTGTAGTTTGGCGTCAACGTTACAATTTGATGCTGGGTTCGTTAGGAGCAAAGCAGCTTTCAAATCCGACCGAGCGTGGCAGGAGCAAAGCTGGACAAGTTTGTGCTTTGGATTAATTGCTTGATGGTGCCAAAGGGGGCTGGGAGGGCCGTCGGCCCCCTGTAATTTTGCTGGCCGTCGTAGCATCATCTCTTCATTTTTTATTTCTGCTCGTTTGTCTTCCATAAAAGGCCACTTTTAAAGGTAATGCAGCTGAGTAATGAAGAATAGGGTGGGGGAAGAAATGATTTACTGTCACCACTTTGGGAAGATTTCAGACGTACCAGCAGCAAGTTACAAAAAGTTCTCGAAATTCATAAACAAATAAACAAACAAACAGAACCCTGCTAATTCTTATTTGCTTGCATTTGAATCAATGCCAACACAGAGATGTAAGAAATCGAACTGATCGATTTCTTCGTGACAAATCATATGTGACAGATTCTGAACCACTATTAGTTCCACTCCAGTCTGTTCTGCTGTCTTAACAAGCTGCTTTTATTTGTTTACCAAATTTCCCCTGTTTTAGGGTTAGGACTGACCCTAAACCTAACCCCAACCCCAACTGTGTTTTCAAATCTGACTCTCGATACATCTTTGAAGCAGGAATATGGAAGGAAGTTGAGATCGAAGAGACAAAAACAGATAGAAAAACAAAGATGGTCAATCTATAAAGAACGTTAATCAGCTGCTCTATTTCTTGAGTGACGTTACCAGACAGACGTGTTTCTCCAATCTAGATTAATTAATGGTAACAACATAGCAAAGCATAAAAGAAAACTTTTCCCCTCTGGGTTAAAATCAAAATGTGAAAATGAATCTGAGTTATTTTGCAGGAAATCCTAGCTCATAGCTTTAAATCTCAGACGACAGCATCGTCCAACTCATGGAATGCTCCACTGGCCTTTTGCATTTTGGGGTGACTCAACCCTTTGAAAATCCTTTGGCAGCAACCCCTGTTGTGCTTTGAAACAACCGTGCTTTTCAGAAGCGGCGCAGAGAAAAGTATTTGGTGGCATGAAATCAATCAATTAATCTTGACTTAGTGACAAATCATATTGTTATCCCATCCTCATGCATATTCAGCCATACATTTTAACAGCCTCATCTGTACCCTGTGGAGTTGGCTTGACTTCGGTTTTTGTTGCTTTGTTCGCTCGTCAACACGTGCGATGAATGCCATGTATACAAATATTCCCCCGCAACTTTTGATTGATATTCATTTATTCCTTCCTGGTTTTGTCAGGCCCACATGCTTGTCCTATGGATGATTAACGCCTTTGTAAGCCTAGGAGCCTCCTTTAGTTTTTCTTTCAAAGGGAAAAGAGGTTTTCATCTTTGATGAACTTATGAGGGTCTCTTGACAGGTCCGGGCCGGAGGGGTGGCTGGGTGGGTTGGGTGAGAGGGGTACGAAACCAGCGCCCCCAAAAACACTCCAACATTCTCCCCTTTCTCAGCCTCCTGGACTACTTCTTTCTCTACTTTCACCTTTTTCCCGGCTCGCTTTGTCCCTGCTGTACAGCTTGCAGGATTGTTTTGTTTCAATGACACGCAGGAGCTCGTATCTGCGTGTCATCTGACGCCGGCATGAATAATTCATCCCCATTAACAAATATGATAAGTGTCGAATAGACGAGGCAGCGGCCTCTTTACCCGAAATTTAATGATGCGTTTGTGAACCGTGCCATTCAAATTGTTTTTTGTTGTCGGGCATGATTTGAGAGGGACAAACGGCTATGAAAGTTTAATGCCAGGAGAACTTGATCTGTCCTCCCGTTCATCTGAAATTACCCTGAAAACAAAAGGAGGAGTACGGTCTGACCTTCACAAAGCGTGTGGGTGTTGCGGCGAATCTGTCTGTCTAAAGAGATAACAGACGGATGCAGATAAGAGGCATGATTAAGTCTAGTCTAGTGCCGTGCTCTTTGTGTAATTTCCTCTCGCCGGCTCTTATCACCAGTTCTCACGAGCGCTTTGAGGAATTCGAGGAAAAAACAATGCTTCATCTCAGCGTGGGGTGACTTCTTTTGTCATCTTCAGGTGTAGCTTTTCCCACCCGCCGAGCCAACGCGAGTCAGAAAGTTGAAGCAGATTGTCTTTACAGCATGGCATTTCTCAAGCTCTTTGGAAACGTATCATCTATGTCCAACAGTTTTCAGAACATCTGCTGCCTCTCAAGTGGACCAAATGTCACTTTCTTTTCCTTTGGTTGTTAGGGACAAATCATTATGCTGGATGGAAGCCGATAATTTGCAGAATCGCTACATGATGCGGTTACAGCTGCAAGTCTTTTGGGGTGTGACTCTACTGGATTTGGTCACCTAGAGACAGGAATATCTGCCAATTCTTGGCAAAAGAGCTCAAGCTCAGTCAGATTAAATACAGAGCGTATGTGAAAAGATTGTAGATTCAGTACTTAAGTCTCTCATAGGGCATTCCGATTTTGGAGCTGTGACTGTATGTTTAGGGTCGTTGGTCTGCTCGCGGTTTAATTTCCAGTTCATTTTCCAATCACGTGTAACAGGTTCTGTTTCCTTGTCTTAGTTAGTTCCAAGCTTTTTTCCATCAACTGACCCAGCCTAGTAAAAACCAGCCCCTCTTCCCATGCTTCACTTCATACAGAGGGTCTGGACCCCTGTCTATTGAGAAACAATTGCTTGCTTGAGGTGTGAACTCTGTGGAAGTTTTACATTTCGCCCCATTGCTAACAGAAATGTAAACAACTGCGCAGGGAGTTTCCTCATAAGATCCTTTGCCAGCAATAAAATCACTCATACATTTCTCTTGCTCCGACTTTAATTGCTCAGTGTTTGTAAGTCATTCAGTCCGCCAACACAGACTGAATGGCTTCGTTACTTCTTTCCCCTGTCAATGCCAAATTTTAACCTTATCTTCCCACCATTTATGTCATGGGAATGGTGTGTTCAAGGTGATGTACTGTGTTAGTTTTCTGTGATATGAGGCAGATTGGTGGAGGATAGATGTTTCACCACTTGAGCAATGGATCTCGATAGTTACCATGGACCACATGGTTACATTTGATTAATATTTGATTAATGCTCTCCCTACTCATCTTCCTGGGTTAGGTGGACGGCCATGGCTTGCCAAGATGTCAGGCCTGGCCTGGCAACAACCAGCCCCTGGTTCAATGCTGCTTGCTTTGCTCATAGAGTCCAGGTTCTTGACTATTGAGAAATGATTGCTTTTACCTAATCGCTAACATTTGCCCATGACGTATGTAGTTTGGCCCAATGAATCTCACCAGAAATTGTA